TAAACTAAAATATGTGATGTTGTTAATAATAAAATACCCAAGCGGAACATAAAAATTGTGGATTTTTGTACTATTTTGAAAAAAAGATGGGCAAAAATTGGGATATTTTTTAAATGTTTGAGGGACCCTGTTTGGCATAATTTATTACGCAAGATGCATCTTTTCTCTGTACTAAAAGGTTCTCAAATAGAGCTGGCAGAAATGTTTACACTTTTTGTACAGAAATTCTCACCTCGTTCTCACCTCGTAAAAGATAAGAGAAACACGTAGGTAATTCTGGTTCGAATCCTAATTTATGAATTCCGTTTCTCCGCCCACTTGTTGTAAATAATTATCTTCACCTTCCTCCACCGCATGCTTGCCGAATTCTTCTCCGTCCATATTTAGTCTGGCCTCCAAAACTTAAGTCTACAAAGGAAGGGATTAGGTAGTGGATTTAATTTTAAAACAGAGTTAACCCTGATCTTAGAGAAAGATTGCATTGGGAAAATTAAAGCGAGTTAATTTGTAACCCTCATACGAATTATGAATACGGTTTTCTTTTTCTTTTCATCTGTCAATTAACCAGCCATACACAAACACCAGCCATATTCGAATTGAATCAATCTTGCATAATCAACCTGCAAGAAGAAATTTAAATTTTAAAGTCTGACTCATTTCATTGTCAGATTCTTTCTGTAAATAAACTTTACTATGATTAAGAGGAATTCTTGAAGGCTCAAGGTGAAGTTCGTTAGAAGGTGAAATTTTAGCTATGCAGGTTTGAAGGGTCCCTTCACTTTTGAAGAAATTCATGAATAATCGTAATCAGAAATGAGAGAATATTCATTAGGATATGTACCTTGAGGAGAAGAGGACTCAACTTTTTGCATCAAATTAAATAGGACGTGCCCTTTGGGTGTTGTTAGTTTTAAGATAAGAAGGTGATAAGTGGTGAGGGAAAAGCAGTAAATTTTAAAGTGTTGAAAGTCTCCCCGTCTCAACTCACCTCTCCTCCTCCCATAATCCTCCACCAACTGGACGTGAAACTCATCTCTATCTAATCATAGAATCAGACTTGGCACTTGTATTAATTACTCTTAACCTAACCACTTGGACAATTCGACATGCTTACTTAATGGGATTGAAATCAAGGCGAGTGCGTCGTCGGGAAGTGTGAGTGGGTGGGTGGGTGAATTAAAAGGGATTAAATTTATCCCACAATACACTATCAACTAGACACGAATTAGGCAGAGTGTTTACAGTGGAGGAGACGCACGTCAGGGCAGAAAAGCGGACAGAAAGTTGTAATTTTAGAGGTTTTGTTTTGAGAGTTGTGTGTAATTTGGGAATTGATTTTCTGCAAATTTTCTGTAAAATCTGCTTTCTATGCTGTCGCTTTGGTCCGCCCTCCGCCTTTTTCAATCTATTAAGATTTCCAGCCCATCAATTGATCGTTATTTATTGCATTTCTGTTGTACTTACTTTGGGCGCCCACTTTCTTCTTTTTCCTTCAGGATTTGGTAAATAGTAATTAATGGGAATTCAGCCGAGTGGAAATGACGAAAATTGAGATGGATATAAAAAGAAAGGGTTGGACTACTTAAGTCGGATCTCATTTAGTGTCCGTCGTCGGTCTGGTCACCGGTTAATTTGTTTTTGTCTCGTCGTTACCGCTTGTGAAGAGGGGTCATCATCACATTTCGTTAATCCTAGGTTTGAGTCTGGTCGAATTAATAACTTGTGAGTGGTTGTTGAGAGATGCTGGGTTTTTAGTGGGTGGGTGTTGTCCAAAGTAAACTAGTTTGTGTAAGTATTTTCTATCTGAATTGGATGAGATTATAAGTGGAAGGAATGAGATAATGAAAAATATAAACTTTTCAGGTTGATCTTAAAACGATAATCCAACTGTAATGAAATTCATCCCAAGTGCATATTACAAGTAGTAAAAAGGACGCGTAATAAGAAAACTGAGGGGATTTCACCTTCACAAGGTTTCAAGGATCATCATCATCATCCTCCTTGATCGGTGATCGTGACTTTTGCCTCTAACAAGAAGGGCGAGCTGATCTTTATTTAACACCGAATTTCCTCAGCTCTTTTCTTATTGAACTGGTCGTCATGCAGCAAAGTGATGATGTTTAATCAAAGGGTGGACGCAGCTCAAATCAACTAATTGAATGCATTGATCCTAGGGTTGCATTGAACCCTTTTGTCTCTAATTCCCCAACCAACTATGACCTGACTGACACCAATATTCATTAAATTTCTGGGAGAAAAGTACGTGCAAGGATGTGTCACACATGTGACGGTGTCACTTTCATTCTTCTACTTTAGTTTATTGCACTGGAAAAGAAAAGAGGAATCCGCCCGTTGGTGGGATTTTGGAAGCTCGTTGGTGCGTATATAGCATACGCATACGTATCTAGCGTGTAGGGTTTACTTTTCGAGATGGTGATGGAGATAAAATGAAATAAAAAGAGAGAACATGATTTTCCTATTAGTTTAATCGAAACCGTCCCAAGGAATTGGAATTACTATGAAGAAGAAAAAGTAGCGGACTCTCAACTTCACCAACTTCCACCGGATTGCGTGGCATCACGACACGAGATAAGAAGAAGTGATCCTGCTACGCCTTCCAGCCATTTCTTGTGTGTTGTTTGTGGGAAATGAGGATAAGAAACAATACGTTGGGCAGAACAATTTCAATATCAACAAAGGATTTCATCATGATCAATGTCATCCAAGTGTTGGTGGGGTCGTTGGTGACATCAAAGTGATAAGATAAGATAAGCCTTCTCATCATCCCGCATCTCACTCTTTTCAGTGAAGCTATACTGGTTCTTGGACAAATCGAGAGAAAATTACACTTCAGTCGCCACGCAATAATCCATTTCAATTTGCATGGACAAGATGTGAAATCTAGAATATGGCCGGTTTTCGAAGGACATCAATTTTGAATTAAAGCTTAATTACGGTCCATCAAATGCAGGACAAGTCTATTCTAAATGACCTTTCGATGTAGGCAACATTCCCAGTTTTATGTCTCAAATAAAATTTATTTACCCTTTTACTTTTCAATTTTAGTTGAATTTTCGTATCGAATAATTCAACAACCGACTAAGAAGAATAACACAATTATACGCAGAATTGTATGTATGCAGTCATTGCATAACTTGTTATTGCAAGTCGCTTCACCTGGAGGGGAGTTTGTTGCATTCATGAATTGAAAATTTATACACCAACCGATGTGGAATAAAGGACTGCAGTTGCATCCTATGCACTTTTACATGTTGAATTTGTTAGTCGGGACATATTTCTGTCTTCCGTTTTTAGATTATTTTCCCAGGGTAAATTCGAATGCATATTTAAAATTAAGTCAACACAGTCAGTTCGAGACCTGAAATGAAGAGGGGAGAAAGTCGGGACATGCATTTATTAACAAAAACATATCTACGTATGTCCATCCACATTTTGTGACGAAGTCTTCAAAAAACGATTCGTGTTTAATTGAAGACTGAAATTTCCCTTTCTGAAAATTTATGTTTTCTCGTAAATTTAATGTGCAACTCGATGGAAGTCATACGGAAGTATGGATTGCATACATATCTCTGATGCTGATCCGATACTTATGGAAACTTTTGACCTGCCAGCCAACCAACTCACCCCGCACTGTCTCCAATGACCAACGGCCCGTGACTTTAGAGAGAGCTCTCCTCTGCTCATTGACTCGTATTCGGAACTAAAGAGTTGCTACTGCATTTATGTTTCCTTAATAGTCGATATTACAATGAATGCACAAAGCCATCTCTGTTCAAGTATTGCAGGTCGTCCACTATTTCAAAAAATATGGACCGGATTCAAAACCTCTTCAAAGTAGCGCACTTATTGCAACAAGGTTTATCATGCGGAAGAGTTATGGGTCATTACTTTATTCATGGCATGATCCAAAAGGGTTGAATTGAAATAATGGCAACCAACGAAACTTACATATGGCTGACGTCCTGTCTCATTTACGTTTTACTCCAAAAAAATAAATGCATACGTTTTAAACACTCAATTAAGGAAATCTTTTACAGAATTTAATTGTTTTTCTGTATCACTTTAGCAAAATTAGGAAACCTTGCTTGGACATTTTACCATGAATTTTTAACACAATGTGCATATCACGGATTTGCACGAGTTTTAAGATAAAGTTGACAAAATTCAATGAGCATATCGTGACCAAAGTTGATGCAGATTGAAAGTGTGTACTTATTTAAAACTACTCGAGTCATCGTTTGTCTGACCAGTGTGCAAATTCGCATAATTCAATTATAGCGTGCCACACAGAATATGCATGCGTTTTTTTATTCTTCTTCCTCTCTTTGTCTCATCTCATGGTGCGATCTGTCAAGGTATTGAGTGAGACTTTGTTTTATAACGACAATAATTGTAAATTTGTATGTCATTATGTTGTTCCGCGTACATAAATATTACACGTAGTACATAATTTTATGTCACATAAAGTGTTAAATTAACATAATAAAATTTGCAGGAGTTGCTAATAACGTGCACAATGTTTCAGCTATACGATACGCACAACAATCCATTATTACCTTTTGCCATGGGAAGTAGGTCAAAACCGCAGGATTTTAATAGGCAGATGATGAAGCAGTATTACAATTTACTATTATTAGGTACCTACCGCTATGTATCTTGTATGCATGATAATCAACAAGGAAAACAAAAGTTAGAGGTTACCGTGAATAATTCGATGCGTGATATATGGAATAGAGGCAACAACGTGCTATGCTATTGGACGTGCAGTTTTGTCTTATCATTATATAATGGACTAAAGGATGTATGTGTATGCTTTATATTATCGCGTAGTAATTTCTAGTTGGGGATAAGTTTGTATTGTATGTACAACGAAACACAATGGGATTTCATTGACTCCATGCAGTAAAATATTTGATAGACTTCGAATGCCATGAGAAATCGAGAATGACAAGCGGATTAGGAAGGACTGCAGTGCAATTGTTGTTAAAGATTGCGAATATAATTCTGCAAAGTATCACTAGTCAATCTGATGTTGGTCAGCAAAGTCACGTTACATATAGAAAATGAATTAAGTCTGTTATGTCCAAAAAAGTCGTCTTCTTCATCCTTGTTTCAGAGTTACGTAAAACAAACACGGCTTCCCTTAAATCCTCTGAGATAACAATTGATTCCTATTTAAAGTGGTGGTGAAGAGGTGTCAGTTGGAATAAGTAAGAAGAGATTGTGAAATTCTGCTGGTTGTGAGCTGGGCTCTATCAAAGTTTTATTTTTATTTTTTAGTTGGAATGGCGAATTTTGGAAATAATTGCATATTTTTATTTTCAACAATACTTTTTCATCAATGTCAGAGTCAGAGTCAGCTAGTCTCGTCCGTAATTTCGAATTTGAACCTGCCCTGTACCCAATCGTCGCAATGTAACAATAATGCCGGTAAGTCAGATAAGCATCTTATGATAATTAAGTATTACACGAAATTGAATGTTTACATGTTATCGTCACTAAAATATGCCAGGACTTTATTGCATCCCAACAACCCCACCCACCGCCCAACTTCGATGCGGCTGCCTCACAAATTCCACCGTCTTTGACGAGTACCAAGGTCGTTGCGTGGGTAAAGTCGGTCACCCCTGCGTGTACAGTGGCAACCAGTCATTCTGTCCGGACAAGGCCCACTGCTCCCATCAAGACCCTCACCACCCGGACCTCTACTTTTACGAGTCGCGATGTTTCTGCGACGTTTCCTACTTTGGCGACAAGCAAGGCAAATGCATCTTGGCTGCAAAGTTTGGAGAATCTTGTTCCGCCTCCGTGAAAAAATGTGACGAGGTTTCCGGTCTCAAATGCGTGGATGGAAAGTGTGCCTGTGCCTTTGGGAAGGATCAGCAGTATTACGATGGGAAAAAAGATAAGTGTGTGTCACACATTGGGAAAAACTGCACGGGTTTCAACTCCTGTAGTGAAAATGCTCGATGTGAAGGAAGCTCCGTAAACCGTGCAATTGTTGGCGATGGGAATGAGAAGTTACGCGCACGGAGACAAATTCCCCCTCCGACAGTAATTGGACGAAGCATACCTGGAAATTTACCACCACCAGGGAGATTTATTAACCGAAATAGTATCAATGTGCCTCCAAAGTCAAACAGTAACAATGCCAAGAAGGACGTATTCTCTGATATAATTGGAGTCGGGACTTGCGTCTGTAATTACGGATTTACAGCTACGAAGGGTGGCAAATGTCTGGGAAGTTATCGACAATCTTGTTCTCGGGTGCAGAGGTGCAATCATGAAGATAACTTGGAGTGTCTAGATGGGAGGTACATACATCAGAATTTACATATTGCACATTTACATATGTAGCATGTCATACATGATATTTTTTCCTTACTAATTTGTAGCTGCAACTGTAAATCGCCACTTCATCAAAATTACGACCACCTTATTAAAAAATGTCTCAGCCTTGTCGGAGCAAAATGCGACTCGGGTCGAAACTCTGCAAATTCTTGCGTCGACAATGCCCACTGCGTTAGTGGTTCATGTATCTGTAAGGATGGCTGGGTGGCTACCCCCTTCCGCCGGTGTATGTTGGGATACGGAAAACCGTGTGAAAACATGGAATGCAATTCTTTTAACGGGTTAACCTGCAAAAATTCCAACTCTCCAAACAACACTGTCAATAATAGTAATAGTGGAATTAAAAGCGGAAAAAGGTGCTCGTGTGTGGATGACTCGTTAGTTTACAATGGCCAAATGCAGTCTTGTGTATCACAGCTTGGCTCACCGTGTGGGAAAATTGGTCAGGAAAATTACGGCAAGGAATCCTTCTACGTTGCTTGTGAACCTCCTGCAATTTGTCGAGAGGAGCCGGGCGGGGATAAGAGCAGTCGGTTTTGTCGTCTGCCCAACTAAATGGCGAGAAAAATAATGTTATTTTATTTAATTGTATGGTGTACGTACTACTGTTTACTACTGTTTACTACCACTTAATGAAACGGGTCTTATTATTACAATAAAGAAATGCACGAGTCATACTTAAACAAATTATGTATCTACTTGAATTTTGCAACTTGAATTTTTGGCAATTCTAATTTTTGCAAGCATCACTTCTCGGACAATTAGGTCCAGTACAAATTTGATTTGCATGTGCTAATTTGAAAAAAAACCGTACCATGAAACCTTGATAGAGCTTTGAACTCGGTGTCTACGCATGAATTCCCATGCAAAAATATTTCACGGAATGCATAACGTAACGTCTCTCCTACAACAGAATACCTAAATGTTCCGATTTCGCTTGTTTGCTTTATGTCCTCCGAACACGAAGACACTGGGGTTTTGGTTTGGTGAGGGTATAAGAACCCTATTATCTATGTACCTGACAATGACATTCGAGAAGAAAAATTCACGGTAGTCAGCCAGGCTTAAACATTTTTTGCAACTTGAGATTCACCACTCCGGAAACAATGATGATGAACTGAGAGAATCTGCATGCATGCACGAATTTCCTGCTTCAAATAGGTGAGACGAAGTGTTGGTGAGGAAGGATTTAAGTAAATAAAGTCGTTTTTCTCTGCATATTACATTCTGGTTTTATTTCCTCCTTATAAAGCCGTACGATAATACGCATAGATTTCCTTCCGAGTAAATACCCGCAGTTAACAACCACCCGCAGTTGTGTGAAGAGGTTACTGGCTTATTCTCTGGGATTCTAATAAATATTGGCGAAATATTGCAAATTTACCTTGTGCCATGAATCCTCTCAGTTTCGTGTCGGTATTGCTCATCTTTTTTAAATTCCCGATAACCACTTCGTACGGGGTTCCCTTTGTAAAGCATTTCAATGAACATTGCGATTGGCGAGGTCAATCTGAAATTTGCGATCAGACGCGAGGTCTTGCTTGCTCGTATCAGTCGAGCACATGTGATTGTTGGGATGTGAGGAAAATATTTTCCACAAAGGTATGCAACAGCTTTTACATGTTTTGATTATGCCAGTTTGGACTTTAATCAGGCCTTGATTCGACTCAGGTTCATCGCTGCGTCGGAAAATCTGGAGAGGAATGTGCCTACTTTGAAAATGAAAGAATGTGCACCGAAAACGCTTACTGTTTGGAAGACCGCACCCTCAGCCCCATCCCGTTGTGCGTCTGTCTCAAAGGCTACTTCCGCTCGGACAATGGATCCTGTATCAAATATGCCAAATTTGGAGAATCCTGTGAACCATACCCCCAAAACCGGCTCCCATGCGAGCCCGACACTGGTCTAAGGTGTCACAGTTACACTTGCAAGTGTGAACCCGACCACGATTACGACCCAGTTAGAGACCTCTGCATCGCCAAAGTTGGGCACAAATGTTCCCGAACCCTCAATAATTGCGGGGAGAATGCTGACTGTGCCGAAAAGACGTGGATGCTTGACCACCTCACGGGAACGACCAAAATGACTGGATACATTTGCGGGTGTAAGCCCGGCTTAAAAATAACTCCCACCGGTCTCTGTGCCTCTGACTATGGTGGAACTTGCAATAAAACTTCAGACTGCTTTCCCGGAGAACATCTCACTTGTTTAAACTCGATCTGCCAATGTCATCCTTTGAGTCAAATTTTTTCCAAGAAGCAGAGGCGTTGCTTTAATTTGGTCGGGACAAAGTGTCAACCTCAAGAAACCGGAGGGGATAAAAATGGTAATTCTCTGATGAAAAATGCGTCTCGAACAAATTCCAAGATTTCTTCGGCAGTATCTGCGTATTTTTCATCTCTACCCTTCACCAACTCATCATCATCATCAACCACAACATCATCTACACTTCGTCCTCCCCCTCAGCAGATGAAAGATGAAGAACAAGAAGAACATCAGCAGGAAATGGATGGAACTGAAGGGGCAGAGTGCATCTCCAATTCTGAGTGTGTTTCCACTGCCCACGGATATGCACACTGCTCCTGTTCAAAGGGTTCCTCAGAGACGATGATCAAAACTTGTCTGCTAGATTACGGCCAATCATGTCAAAAACAAGAGGAAATGCAGAATGAGATTCAAAGTCGGGCTCAAATCTTTGTGTTGGAGAAGGAGATGAAGTGCAATGTGTTTGAAGGGCTCATTTGTCACGATGATACGGCAAAATGTGGGTGTGCCGATCCTCTCCTGGTGTACGACGAGGGATACAAGGCCTGCGTGGCGAGGATTGGAAGTCCGTGTGGGAATTTGAAGTTGGGAATGCTCGATTTGAGTCAGGATATTAGGGAAATGATCTTTATTAATTGCGAAAAGAATTCTACATGTTTGGAATTAAGCGGTGGTGGAGGGATGAGTAAAAGGGTTTGTGTACCGTTTAATAAAAGTAACGCGTTGGCAGCTGCGGCTGGCACTAGTTTGTCAAAACTTATGTTTAATAACGCAAATGTCATCACTGCAACTGATTAAGTGAAACAAGATTGGTTTCACTTATCTGGAGGCATTTTCTTGTTTTTGGAAGTGGTGGAAATGGAATATGTACACAGAAGAAGATGGATAAATGAGGTTGGTTGTATTTATTCTTGGTATGGGAGTTTGGTGGGATGTGCGTGTGAGAGTTAAATGTAATTTCTGATATAATTTTGTTTGTACTGAATTAAGTTCATGTTTACATACATTTGTCCATAAAATAATCCACTTTCAGTATTATTAATTTATTTATTAGAGTTCCCACCAAGTTATTAATGTATTTATTAACTTATTTATGGAAGTTGTGGAGGAGGATGTTGGCAAAATAAAGTTGATGATTGCAACCACTCGACCAATTGAATGTAATAATTGGATGTCTGTTTCATATGACTTTATTGAAATTGCGAGGCTAACATGACACAATTAAATATTATTCTATCTCTGGTCGCAAACAAATCGTTTCAAGTATTCCTAGCTGGAAACTCATCATTTAAAATGGTGGTAAGTACATAATTCAAAGCTCAAAATTTTTTAATTTCTTAATCCACATCATATTTAATTGCAGATTTCCTTCCTCATTCTTCTCATTATGATGAATATCTGCCGGACACGTTCAATCTCTTGTGGCGAATTTAGTATCGGCAATTGTGACCCGTGACTGTTCCCTGGCTCCAAACTTTTGAGAATACTTACATCCTCCCCACAATGCCACGATTTGTGATGTCACTCGATCTCTCAGTCAGTATGACCAAAGCTGGTTCCACATACTGTCGAATCCTCCCAAACGGCCTCCACCGATATCCCTCCAGCACTCAATCTCAACTGCGAATGTGACACACACTATTTCCAAATCCTGGAACCTGTCTCGAAATATGCGATGAAACTTGTACTGCCCAAAAACCTCGCGATGCGACAAATCTTCCAGGATGGAATGCATTCGAATCAAAAACAAACAGTTCCAATGTCAATGTAAATACCCTCGAGATCAATATTACGACTCTGAGGAAAAAAAGTGCATGGGTGGGAAGTGTTCTTTCACTTCACCCTTCCTGCATTTTGTGAGAAAATCGCCAAATGTTTCCAAGACATATTTGAGCTTCGGAGGGGTGAAACCTCGCATGAAGAGCCGTACTACTAGAACACCACATCACAGTAGGGACGGAATGCTTCTTGGGGACAAAGAGCCGCCAGTGTTTACCCTCTTACCCGTCTCCTTGTGGTGACTATGTATTATGACAACAGTAATAATAACGTTTTCGGAGGAAAATCTTAAATGTTTTGATAACAGAATTTGTCTCTGTCAAAACCCTTTACATCAGTTTATTCCTCAGAAAAGAACAAATGTCTTAATCTGGTTGGGACACGATGCTTCTTCCTCCACCCTCCAGAACCGGATTGCATCGAATGCCGTGGGACGCATGATGCAGTATGCAAAACGGGTTTTTCTTCGACAACATGCACTATTCCAGAAAATGTCTCTGAGATTTTTGGAGAAGTTTGTAGCAAGGAACATGCGAAGAGTGGTTGGTGGAGGCTTGAGTTGTCAAAATGGGGCTTGTAATTGCATCGACGACTGTTTGAGATATAGCCCAACTCTTCAAAGTTGTCTCGATGGTCAAGGGTCACCTTGTGGGAAGGTTTTGCTAAGGAAAAGTTGGTGTTGGATGGCAGTTGTTCAGTTCATTATGGAGCTGAGCAATAAGCATAATTATCCTCCTGCTGATAGTGGACAGATAAATTTTAAAAGAATTATGTACAATTGAATGTGATTCTTATAATGGGAAAGTGTCTGGATATCTAATTACTAATTAGATTTTAGTATATTTGTTATGAAATTAAAATTTCGTTCAGTCAAGTTTATATGCAAAGTGAAATCCAATAAAAACATAATTGGAAACTTGTATCTCTATGTTTTTAATCTCTTTGAACTTAAACTTGGTTCAGGAGTATAATCTTTAGTGATATATTGGTAATTTTCCTGTACATGGATATGTGCATACACATCATTTTAATTTTTATCCAAAAAAATCGACAAGGATATTAATAGCTTTCTATCAGAGGGGAAAGCTCACCAATACAGTTAACGCTTCAAGCTGAAGTAGTGTAGAAAGATGACGACCACACGTTAAACATGTTTGTACCTTTGTTTCACTCACGAAAGAGTGAATGCAAATTTTAAAAATATTTTGCGTCATCTCTAATGATACGGACAAGCGAAGACGAGCAACACAACTTTCAACGCATATGTACAACAATAGAACTTATTTTACATGAGTCATCACTCATCACATATCTAGATAATGAAGTCGAACAGGAACTGGGTTTTACCGTTAGGCGTCACAACCCCTTGTTTGTTATGCATGTTGTGCAAATAATGCCGTATGTACAATTTTGCACACATTTGTTGCACCGGTCAGCAGTCGTAAGGTTGCAGTTAAAGAAAATACTCTTGGTTCAATAAGCCGTAAAAATAAAATGAGTGAAAAATTTTCCATCGTAATTTCTATCCTCACAAACTACCTACTTTTACAAAGTAATTGCGTAATTTTGCAAGGTTATAACGAACGTTGCGAACTTTACGACGAGACATCAACCTGTGACCACAGCGTTGGAATCATGTGTATCGATTCTGGTCTTAAAGGCTACCGGTGCAGGTGTCCAAACGACGCCCAATTCGGCACTGTGTACGATCCTAAACGAAACAAATGTGTAGGAAAAGTGTGGAATAGTTGTGTCAACCCCGTCCCATCATCACCCAGACCTGGAAACTTCAACCTTAACGAAACTCTCTGCGTCGAGAACGCTGAATGCAACGCGAAGCTATACCATTTGCCAATTTGCATGTGTAAAAGTGGTTTCGTCGAGCTGGACGAGGAAGGCACATGTGTTCCAGCTGCAAAATATGGCGAATCTTGTGACAACGATAAGATCCAGTGCGACCCAAAGGCCAGTATTTCCTGTAACCCAGATGGGAAATGTGGATGTAAAGCAGAGAGTCATCAATTTTATGACCATGAACAAGAAAAATGTGTCACTTTCGTTGGCGGAAATTGCACTCGTGACGATGAATGTGTTCCAAAAGCAGTGTGTGGTCGTAGTGGTGAATCTGGTCATCCTCCGCCCGGTCATCTTCTTATCCCAGGTCGTCAGCCTGGTGGTGGGAGAATCTTCATCGGCAGTCTTGTAGGCATAGGAAGACGCGACATTATCTTCGGATCAGGAGAAGCTCAACAAACTGCTGAAGAAGGTGGATATTACAGCCCACCGAATTTTAACAATCGCCCATTTCCCAATAATAGACTCCACTTTGGAGGAGGTAACAGCCAAGGAAAATGTGCCTGTCGATCGGGCTATTCGAAAACGAAAGATGGATTTTGCCTCCCTTCGTATGGAACGGAATGTCTTCCCAGAGACAGAAATGGGGCAAATTTCACCACGGAAATATGCAATCCTGACCAATTTCTCGAGTGCTTAGGTGCTCCTTCTTCTGGTCATTATGAAGGCAAATCTGGGTTTCGATGTCAATGCAGAAACCCATTAAATGAAAGGTTTGACAAGAAGCTGGGAAAATGTGTCAGTTTAGCGGGACGGAGATGCCGACTTTCATCCGTTTATCCGAGTTGTTCAGAAGGAAGCGAATGTGTTGATGGAATATGCGAATGCAGAAATGGGACATCTTTAGCGCACAATACGGGACAATGTAAACTGGATTTTAACGAGCGGTGCAGTCCTGGAGAATGTAACGCAGCGAATGGATTGATATGTCACGGGAAAACACAGACCTGCTTGTGTATGGATTCTTACTTAAACTATGACCCCAGAAAACGCTCTTGTCTCGCAGAGATAGGATCGCCCTGTGGATATTTTGAGTTTAACCAGAATCTTGATTACTTTCCGATTGAATTAATACCCACGACAAAGAGAAGAGAATCTCCTTCCGTCTTCATAAATTGTGAGGTTGGAGCAGTCTGTCAACCACGAATGGGTGAAGGGGCTACCAACACCGATAAAATTACAGAGTTCACTTGTGTGGCAAAATCGTAATTTTTATGTGATTGTACTTTTTATAATTTACTTATTTATTTAATTATCTCATGCATTTCTAATAGTAATAAAAACTCCTGTAATAATAAATCCAGCATATGAATACGAATTCGACTGAGAATTCTGCCATCAGCAGCTTGCCCAGCAGGTGGTGAACATGCATTGCCTGGCAAATTGGACACGCTTGAAATGTTGAGAAGATTGGAAATGGAGTTGTCAACGAAGCAATAAAATTCATTTTTAATCACTGTTTAATTAAGCATCATGTTACTTGTGAGAGGAGCAATAAAACGCATCCAGCATTTTGAAAGGGTTGAGTTTGCTCTACCATTGCACACAAATTCTGAACCACTACTACCTGCCTGGTGACGTTTCCTTCCTGTTCATGAAGCTATGTAGGTAGACCTGAAGCTTTTGTTTAATACTCTCTCGTTGTGTTTAATACTCTCCAGTAGTGCAGTAATAAAACGTGTAATTGGAACAGAACAGCAAACCTGAGACAAAGTAAAGGGTAGTAGTTAATTAAGGTAAACAGGAGGACGACACAGGCAGGATTCGTGTCACAAGATAACTCTGAAATGCTTTTATGACTGAAATATAAACCGACAATTTTTACTCATTTTTACCTGAAATGTATCCACTTTTCGTGTGGTATCCTCTCTCCGTGTCATGATTTAGGACAGAAAAGGATGCACATTTCAGATCTGTGTTTTAGTACATAATTTATTGCTCAACCTGTTTCCACCACTTGCTCATTTTGGATGGGAACTATTGCACCAGTAGTAAACTGGTACCTACATGAAATTCATTTAAGACTGGTAAATGTTGTACTTCCGAAAGGACCAATTTACAAAGTATGTTGTTCTCAAGTTCGGAATTTGAAATAGTAGTTTGTCAAACTTGTTACGCTTTTACGACCAGCAACCAACTTCTGGTTCTGTTTTAAGATAATGTATCGCTCTTATCTGAAAAGATGTTGTTTTATTACTTTGTGTAACTATTACACGATTTTCGTCTCAAATACATATGAGCAGAAGCACACACCTTAATCCTTGAGTGGTTAACGTTAAGCTTCATCTGGCATTTGACACCATTGTATATTTATCTATTATTGCGGGATGGCATATAAATACGCTTCTAGTTGGGTGGTGCGTCTATAAGCAATAAAAATACAGTTTAAGTATAAGATGCATTGTTATCGCTTAAAATAAATGGGAGACTCTCAAATGTCAAAAGTTCACCATTTATTAACGTTATATAAAAGGGTAAAAAGTGATTATTATCAATTATCCTCACTTGTTTGTTAAAACGTCTCACCTTGCCTGTAGCAGGATATATTTACATAAATGATTCTGTTTTTTTGCAAAAATGTCATAAAAAAATTTACATGCATTGACCCAATACTACCTAATTTAATAGTGAGCGAGTCTGTAATCAGATATCACGACTGTGAAAATCATGATGCTAATTTCACGACAGTACCTGCCAATATTGCTAATATACCTATAAATCTCTTATAATTTCGCGATTTTTTTTATAAAAGGGAATAATTTTTCCCCTCCCAGGGTGGTGCAGATTTCAATCATCCATCATCAAGCATACAGATCCAATAATCTTATTTCTTTTTTAATTCGCAACTATTTTGGCTTTTTACGACTTTATTTTATTTCTTTATGAGATTACCCAACACAACATTACTACCATTATTGGATTGTGGAAATGCGATAAAAAATCATAAAATGCGACATTCATTAGTCAATATATGTACAATTTTTATGCCAAATTGGACCACGGAATTGACACACCTATTATTGAGACAAAATCAGGCTGTCTCGTCTATTTGTCTAATGTGATAGTTGTCACGTCATGTGCCATGTCACGTCACGTTGTCTCGTCGAATGTCTCTAAAATCTTAATTAATTTGTATTGAACATGATAATTAAAAAAGTTATAAAACTCCAAGGCTTGATTTCGTACCTAGTTATGTGATAATTTTAGTCACCTTCATTCCTCCGCTGTGCTATATTAGGGTCTTCAATTAGCCGAAAGAATATGAACCAATGTACGTGTTTGCAATTAACCGGTTGATTGAACTCATAACTTATCTTCTTTATTACCAAAGCGTTGATGAGTGACACTAGCTACATTTGTAATTATGGGACTGGTGGCTAATCAGCAAAACCAATACTTATAATACTTTGTTTGCACTCCTACAAATTGGTGCACCATCAAATAAGAAAGACAAGAAACACCGGTTGCTTATTTGTAAACTGTAGCAAATGTCATTGACTAATTAGGAAATGAGCTGCAAATCCAATCTGTGGATTGTTGGTCATCGTCAGGTATGCGAAAACCTGTTCATAATTAATGCTATTATATGTAAATTATCTGCAAGAGTGCAATAAATGCATCGAATATGCGTAACGAACCTGGTTTTTTGATGTGTCGTGTCTTTGCCATAATTTTTTTCACTTCATCCAATGCAATGACATTGGTCTTTAGTAAACATTACTTACTGACTGCCATCAAATTTAAATATAATAATGACTCGATCATGATAATTTATTTTAACATGTGAGACAAAAGTAGCCATCATTTGTCAATTCGATGTCTTATTGCGTGTCACATTTTTTTTCAACGATGCAGTTTTGTTGCACACTGTAGAGCGACACGAATAATAAGTCGTATTGTTGAAGCCCCCTTGGACGGAATTTTGTAACCCTTCATTAATTTCGCACTATCCAATATTTAAAGATTTTGATCACTTCATTTCATTCAATGTCTTCTAATATGAAATTAATTGCGGTCAATTATTAACAAAGGTGAGTTGTTGTTGTTGTTGTCGTATTTTCTAGTTTTTCAAGGTTTGGATGAGTCAAGGTTAAAATCTGTTTTAAAAATACAATTCATAATTATTTACACTCGTTCTGCCATTATTTGTAAAAATTAGTTCAATGTTTTCGATGTTGCAACTTATCCTTAGCTTATCTTGCTTAAGGTACTTACATAAATAGATGAGCAAACTTTCTATATAAATAAATTTTAAGGGATGAATTATTGCTGAAAATTCTTCTTCTTCTAACACTTAAGCTAAACATGATGTTTTTTTCATTATAGGAGATTATTCAGCCGATAATGTGCACTAATCTGCGTGTCACATCTCGACTCGTCCCACTCACTCTCAGTTTTTAGTCTTAAATATTTAGTAATTTTCGCCTTCTTCTTCTTCCTCACTTGTTAACCGTAATTGGAATTATATTGCTTCAAAATTACAGATAAGCATTACATGATGGTTGACGTTAACAGGAGAGAAGATCATAAAGGAAGGATTTTTATTATTTTAAAATTGAAAGAAATAAACCATGCCAAGCCGAGTAATACACGAGGAATCGTGTCATCATCAGAGTGCTTATTGTAATAATTCGCGTACATACAGCGCAGCGCTTCATTATGCGATCTTCGTCAAGAATTCCTTTTACTATTAATACATATAACTCACTCATCCATTCTTTTAATAATAAATTATTATCTAATTCATCCCCAACATTTGGTCATTCGTCGTGTCCGTCCGTGAAGAAGTGGACATACGTAAGTAAAGCACGCTCTTCTAGATATTACAATTTTTACTACTACTTTTCGATTCACTTTTCAATTATTATTCGCTCATCGTATAGTACAATTCTTATTCTGCGTCAATTGGTTGTGGTCTGAATTAAATTCGATTGGACACAGTTATATGTCTTTTCTTTGGTAATAGTGCGAGCATCTTGGGTCACGTAGTCAGTCGTGAGGAGGACGCTGTCTCTACATTAATTACACCGCCAACGACGACGAGATGGTAAGATATTCTTGATGCAATCGCCAACACTACATTATTTTTAGAATATTTTGCATCACTGATTTTTTGCAGGGGTCAAGAACTCATATTTTATTTGGAATTTTGATCTCTTTTGGTGTTTTCAATTTGTCCACTGGAATCGGATCGTTTGGAGATTCGTGTAATCGGCGGAAGGAATGTGATGCCTCGGCAGGACTGCGTTGTCTTAAAGGGAGCTGTCAATGCCAGAATCCGGATGGTCAAGTATTTTCTGCAAAACTTGGTTTATGTGCTGTAAAAATTGGGAGACGATGTGGCCCCGATGACGAATCGGAGAGTAATAATAGCACCATAAACAATGACCATGAAAACCCCGAAGATTCCGTCTGTGTGGACAATGGAGAATGCAAAAAACTCAAGTTGCGAAAATGGTGTCGTTGCAAGGACGGGTTTATGCCAAACGCTGGAGGATCAAGTTGCGTCTCTGTAGCCAAATATGGAGAGTCCTGTTCTCTTAATGAACCCTGTGAAAAGCGATCTGGGACTGAATGCATCGAAGGGAGATGTGTATGTCCATTTGGTGATCATCAATATTTCGACGCTTTGGAGCGACGCTGTATCAGCTATGCGAATGGAAATTGTACTCACCCTAAAATTTCGCCATGCGTGTCAAATGCTGAGTGTGTGAATGTACAATTGATAACTGGATACATGTCGGAGGATGGAGTGAAGAAAATCCATTCTAAAAGTATAACTCAGTGTCATTGTGTCAAAGGTTACTCTGAAACGAAGAATGGATACTGCATGGGAATGGCTAATACGGAATGTGCGCTGAAGCAGCCTTGTAATTCGGAAGCTTTCTTGGTCTGCTCGGATGGAAAGGTGATTTATTTTGCCAATTTTAAATTTATTCTACTTGTTATGAGTATTTATTTAGTTTGAATTGTTTAAATTAGTGCAAGTGCAGAAATCCTCTGCACGAAATGATCGATGAGAAGACGGGCCAATGTGTTAATCTCGTGGGGTCGTCTTGTCGTCCGTCGAATGGAACATTGGGTGGTATTCCTTGCGTCGCAAATTCAGAATGTAACGACGACAAGTGCTCTTGCAAGAAAGGGTTCATCGCCACTCCAAAGAAAACCTGTTTATTGGGATATAAGCAGATTTGTGAACCTTATCAATGCAACACGAATGGGGGGTTGGCCTGTGTAAATGGGATTTGCGAATGCTTTGATTCTCATTTGGTGTTTGACGAGTTGTCGAACGCATGTGTGGGGCTGTCAACCACTTCCGGCTCGGTGGGTGGTTCGGATGGATTGTGATAAGTTCAAGTAGAATTTGAAAATATATTACAACAATATTATAGTATTTTTTTACAAATTATTTTTCATAGCGCTTTATATTTTTATAAAATACTTATTTTGGTATAACAATAGCATAAGAATACGTACTCCATGTATGTAGCAATTTGTTAGGTTTTTTATCGTACGTGAAATCTTGCTGACGTGTTCAGTGTTGTACAATATTTTACATATATACGTGCTAAGTATTTCTGGCATGCACAATTATCATAGAATAGTAAAATATTTTAGGAACTTAATTCATTAAGTTTTGCAATTGGGTTTAATTAGGAAATTGCAACCTTTGTAGGGTACCTCAAGAAGTTATATGTACTTAAAAATAAAAATAAATATTTATGGAGTTCATAACTATCTGTACTTGGTACCTGGTGTACTATGCAAAGCAGTGCAATGCTTGTTGAAAAATTTATACCCCAAATCACAAAAATGTTTGCACGAAATGCGTATAATATTTAATCAATGGAAAATATCCTGTTTGATGATATGCATTAGTTATGAATGACTCAAACAACTCGACTCACTAAAGGCAAATGACCGACCGATCATCATTTCTGGTTAGAGTTCAAGACCATTATCAATGTCTGGCTGGGTCAAATGTCATGTTTGACTTTATTTTTATGCATAAATCGCTGCATTATGGAATGTCTCCCATAATAACAACTTATTAATTTAATACTCCATATAAGGAAAAGAACCAACCTCACATTTTCCTAATTTTATGTCAAAATATTTCAAAATGTTGACAAAATCTGTACTTTACATTTTCATTTTAACAAATTATATCCCCTGGAGTAGTGCAACCACACTCAAAAAGTTGTACGAGCAGCAATGCTCGGTCACCGAAGATTGCGACCAAAGTCAAGGTCTGACCTGTCAAAATAAAGCGTGTCGATGTGAACCTGGGGGTGCGACGGTGTACTCTCTGAGCAATAATCGCTGCGTTGGGAGTGCCGGGAGGGAATGTGTCCAACAAAATAACGCCACATTTTGTGTCGTTAATTCACTATGTCATGATTACGGTTACATGCACCTGTGCACCTGCAAGGATGGATATTATCAATCCAAGGATGGAAATTGCTACACAGTCGCGAAATATGGGGAAACATGTCTCGAGGAAGATTTTTCTTGTGGTGACACGTTATCAAGTTCGATCAGGTAATTAGATATTCTTATTTAGCAGAAGTTATACTTAAAACGGCTAAAAAAAACGTATCAAATTCACAGTTGCATTGAAAAGAAGTGTGGCTGTGTACTTGGCGAGGAAAACCAATCCTTCGATCCTAAGGTGAATTTAATTTAATTAGGAGAACAATTTAATTAAGAACAAGTTAATTAAGAACAATTTAATTAAGAACAATTTAATTTAGGAGAACAAGTGCACTTCGTTTGCTGGGGGCCAATGCATACCTCATTATTATCAGCCATGTTCTGGTAATTCGTATTGTGGAGAATTTAATGAGAACATTGGAGCCGTGTCATTCATGGCAGGTAATATTTAACGAGTGTTAAATAATTAATTTAAATATATTTAATGAATAATCCTAATCACCTTGACCTTGACCTTTTGACCGCAGGGTACAGATGCCTTTGCTCTCCAGGACATTCGCGCAACGTCCGCAGCAAACAATGCCTTGCTCGGTATGGAACTTTATTCTTAAATTAAGAATCTTAATTAAAGGAACGTCGTACATATTTATAAACTTATTAAGTAAACGGACTGATTCACTTTAGGTATGGGACTCAGTGCGGAGCTAATAGCCCATGTAATTTCGACGAGTACTTAGGATGTCTTAATGGGAAATGTAAGCAGCTCATTTTGCTTTCAAACATTATCACCACTGACATGTGTAATTTCTTAATTTTTACCACTCCCTCCCTGACGAATGATATATATTTTTTAGGCCAGTGTCGCAATCCTTTGAACGAGATTTTTAATGAGCTTCTACAACAATGCACCATCCTCGTGGGATCAACCTGCAAGTTGGAAGATTCAAAGAAATGTGTGGATCATGCGATATGTACGGCTGAGAAGAATTCAACCTCGAAGCATGGAAGGTGTCAATGTGGTCCTGGATATAGTGAGACGCCTAATTAACTAGCTAATTAGTGACCAATGCATAAATCAAGTTTTGTTGGGTGGTACGTACTTTTTAAACTATTTTCGTCCCACTTTTTAGGCACGACCCCCTCGAACACTTGTCTTTTAGACATCAATCAAAAATGCGAACCTGGCCAGTGTAACTTTTACAATGGACTTGCCTGCGTAAATGACACTTGCAATTGCATCGACTCCTACCTGAGTTATGATAAAGTGTCCAAAAGTTGCGTGAGTCTGGTTGGTCATCCATGGTAAGAATTTTTAAGTGTATATTTAATAATTACTTTAATAAATACTTACTGAAAAACTGTGCAGCGGATCCATCACGCTTCTTAATGAAGACAAGGATAAAGAAATTGTCATTCTTTGTGAGGCAAACGCAACCTGCGCCAAGGGAGCTACTCAGTATAATGGGGCTTCAAAAAGAGTTTGTAAGGCATCCACGGGAGCCAAGACTAACTAAAATTAGGTACTTGGTAAAAAAAATACCTATTTATCGTTACATACAGATTAATCAAGTTAGTGCTTAGGATATTTTGGAATTTCTTGAATGTTGTTGGGTTTTTTTAAGTTTTCATAATACACAAAGATAAATAATAAATTACCAAATGATACATACAACCGATGGAATTATGTACATATACACAATCCTGTTTTCTTTTATTAACTAACATGTTTAATGGCATTCCCACTCGGCCATTCATTATCACAACATCACGTCACACCTCACACCTCACCCTCACCTAAGAACCTACACCCACTATTCTTAGAAATGGGGAACCCCCCATGGCGGTCGTAAAAAGATCCATTTTCTTCCAAAATTCTATAGCAGGTGTTTTATTTATCCCAAAAAGTCACCTGCTGCTTGTAACGCAATAAGTGTAACTCTTGTACTTGTCGGTAAGAGGAAGATAAGGTGCGTGGTGTTAATGGGAACTGCGGGATGCAAAAAAAACCTCTCTGTCTGACTGAGAATTCTCTCCTTTCTCTTTTAACGACGACTGCAGACTACAATGCTTCGAAAAATTTTCATTATTTGTCAGATTCGGATTCCAAGTTAATTATTGTTCCGTAATGAATTGGACTTGGGATTGTTTCGTTTTTAGAGAAATGTATGTATGAAAGCAGGGCAAAGGAAGTGGATGTACGTATCAATATATAAATGGGTGTCGAACCTAATTTCCTGGTCTTCCAATTTGGAAAAAGTCTGCATTTGACACAAGTGCATTCCTTAAAAGTTCTAAAAAGCTGTACATTTTAAATCACGATTTGAGCGTGTCTGGAGTCCCATGGCGCTGGATGTGGAGTGAGTGCAGTGGGCGCAGTGCCGGTGGTGTGGAGCGTCGTGGGGCAAAATGTTGATTAGCCTCCAGAACAAGTAATTAACAACCTGAGGAACAACGGTACATTGAAAATGTTGTAGAATATCGATTCATCATCATCATTGTATGTATAGATTTTTGAAAATTTCCACCGCACAAGAGGGTAATTTTGAACATTCACAAATTATGTACAACAATAATACACAATTGTGATGTTTGTTCTGTTTGTTTACTTACTTACAAAATACGCATGAATTCAACCTCAAACTGGACAACTGTTCTTGTACCCTCATGTTTTCCAAATTGTTACTATTCACTGCAGAACTCTATAATCCTTTACCCTTCACCCTATCAGTACCACAAATGGACCGACGCATAGCGAACCTATTCCAACTTAATTTATCCTTTCCGCTCTGCTAAATTTCAATACTTTTCACTAAAGCGATTAAATATCTGGCAAAATTCTAAAGTAATAATAATATCCTTTAGAAAGAGCGTGGATTTAAAAGGTATTCGTTAAAAGTGTATCTATACACACGCAGATGGATGAATATGATCAAGTTCGCGTCTTAAAAAGATTTCCACGTTTCTGAAAACATTCGTTATGAGGAGACAAAGGGCACAAATGTCGTCTGAAAATGATGAGAAAGGCGACTGCTGAACCAGACTTTTCTCAAAGCTTATTATGTCAAAGTCCTTGTAACCTACTTAAAAATGTAATGGTATTATCGTCATGTTTGTTTGACATTTTATGATTGGGTTCACTGTCTGAGAGATGATTTTTTAAATTAGTTTAAAATAAGCACGTACTAATAATTAAGTATATCTAGTTTTTTTGCAATACTAATTACGTCATTTGTTCCAAGGAGGAATTACGTTGCGCATTAATAATCCTACATTAACATCCTCGTTGTTATTGTAATAAAAAATCTTGTACATAGTAAATTCAGGCTCTTTTTGTAATGTAGGGAATTAGTGTAGCCTGGCCTGGATTTGTAAAATGAACCAACTAATTGAAAATCATCAGCTTGTACGCATAACCATTATTGTCACGTAATTTTGTTTATATGAAACTCTGAGAACATTTTGTAAGTTGTACGGCTTCTTACCGACTATAATATTCATGTACGTACATACACTTTTAGTAGTAGGTTGACAAACAATGGGACAACAATAACCATTGGATTTAGAATTCGACCAGATCATCTGGAATGGGCTCATTGTTGTCCCTCTAAAATTTAATGCTCTCAAAAGATTTGGTGAAGTGAAGAGAACGAGAGAAAAATGTTGACAATGAAGTTTGGATTAGCCTCAAGAAATAATTGAGGAATAATGGGAAACATGAAGAGAAGCTGCATAAATTCTTGCCAGGGACCCACCAAAGCTGACCATTTGCTCTATATACAAACGTATGTATTTGTACATGTAGGGTTGCATAATGCCAATTATTACGAAAAGGATGACGAACCAAGTAGAAGGTCTTTTCCCCAAAATCCGGACTGAAGGACATGTCTGTACGTACATGCAACAATTATTGGATTTACGAGGATTTTTCAACTTAAAGGTGATCAAATTTAATGGGTGGAGGCTTATTTGGAGCAGCAGCCGGAACCTTTGAATACCGTTCAGATTTTATTAAATAGGATTTATTAAAATGGTGAAAATATGTACTGAAAATATCGAATGAACGTAATCCGGGGTTGAAATTATTTTATTCATGGAAAGAGAAGAGAAGGAAATGAACTTATTTTGAAGGTTGTTACAATGCCTTGGATAATTCTTATTCGCTCCAATTTCATACAGCAGAATATTTTTGAGATGTGTTCCAATTTTCCACTTACAAAAGTATACTTCTAATTTTGGTAGTATTACACTTATGTCCCAAGATTAGCCCAGGTTGCTTCTGCTGCTTGATAAATGAAGGAAATTGTCTCGTAAATCGCGTTGTAGAGAGTATTAAACGCCCCGACAATTCCACCAGCCTCGGTTACTTCGCCTGTGCATGGGTAAAATTTTTACCATCTTTAAAAATTATATGTACGATTAGCAAATACAAGTATGTACCTCCTCCAACTATCGAGGCAGCAGCACTTTTCGGAGTACCGGAAGTAGTCGTAGACGAACCGCAAGAACAGCCAGCAGGGAAATCACTTTCGCCCACGGCTGGAATAGGGGAAGCACTTGTACCCTCAAAAATGGCAAATGAAATCAAAGTCCACGTGAGGACTGTGAGAATTAAGGGCGTTTTCATTTTTATAGATAAAATAGTTATTCTGGTTATGAAACAACTTTGCCAATCGACACCTGGACAATTTATGAGCAAGTTGTGATTGCCTGCAACAATAAATGCTTCTGACCAATGAGCACCTTATTAATTAGCAATGATATCTCACACTACAGGTATGTAGCAGATTTACATACTATGTCAATCTGTACATAAGTATATGAGGTAATTAATTAGATGCCTGGGTAGAAAACTATAATGTAAGGACTTCTGCTTAACATGGTTTCAGTATTTTCGCAATTATTAAGTGCATGTTGAACAATAGTTGAAATACATATTTTGCGTCAGCTAATTTTTTACGTATCCTCTTTTGCAATACAAAAATATGTGTATTTATCCTCTTTTGCAATACAAAAATATGTGTATTTACGTATCTACGTCTTCTCGATTGTGTAGGGTAGGTTTAGAAAGTTTGGCATTTTGCAAAGAATTTATAAATACTGAGATAAGCAGCAGCAGACATCTTACCACACTTTTAGTCTCGGATAAGCTTTTCATGTTGGACTCTCTTTATTAACAATGAACTATCCCCACTGGAATTAAGTAACACGATCGCCTTCATCACACCTTGTTCAAATCTCTTCCAAGCAATGCATCATATTGTCATGAAACAGTTTCCAGATCCATCATTCTGTCCACGCCTACACCCGAATATGAATGTCCTACTGAATTAAGATTTCCACATTTCAATACCAAATCAGTAGCTTTATGAATACATAACACTACTCGGACCACATATTGCGCATTCTTTTTCCTGTGACGAAAGCAGAGATTTATGACTTTTCCCATTCCCATGAATATTAAATTGTACGTACCCGTCCAAGCCAGAATTTCATATTCAATCCCCATTCCTAGTTTGATGACTTTGTCAAATAAAATCTCCGAGGATTCCACCATTTATATTCCTCACAGCGACCAAGAGAAGCATGTAACTTGGTTGCTTGCGAGTCAATCCTCCATAAATAAAAAGTGTTGACTTTTATGTGGACAGTTGGAATTTTGTATTTTTGTTTTGTATTATTTGACATTTCTATGTAGATGACCTGGCTGTCCGACTCGAGCGGACTTTGCGTCCCTCCCACTGCGATGACAATTTGGACAATGCGTTCAAATCCTACTTCTTACGTTGGACAAGACAAGAGCATGTGTACATATGTACATCATTGAAAGGGTTGCAGTAGTAACAATGTCAGTCAATTCAGCTACTGAAATGCCTTGCTTTTTTCGTACGTAAGAGCAAGGAAAATGTCATAATGTTTCTTTCCCTTCACTGAATTTTGTTTGAGAGAAGGCCAATAATACATACATATATTTCCATATTTGGTTCGTCGTCGTGACGTGATTTCTTCTGGTCTGATTGGTATTCGTGTCCATTGTAAATTGTCGATTGTCCAGAGAGTGAGTTGGGTGGACAACCTTTTACTGCCGAATCGATGACCACCTACTTTGCCTTCAAAATTTGCTTTTTCTCTTGCCAAGAAAAGGATCGAACGAAGGACGGAATCGGATCACATGACAAAAGTGACATTACTACATGACATGACACACTATACGACATGAAGGCATTTACTTTATTTACATTTCGTAGCTAAACTGCGTTTTGCCAACGATTCGGAAAAATTGGGAGGACGTGAAGTGATTGAGGAGGATTACAGGCCGATCAGTCCTAATCACAATGTGATCTAGATTTTATTTGATTGAAGCTTGTTCACAGACAGCATGCTTCGCACGGATAACGCGAATTAGGGGATGGGCCAAAAATCTACCAAGAAATATATGACGAATTTGTCCTTCTGACCCGGAATCGAAATGTCCCGTGTGCCATGTCAAATCACTCAAAGAAAACTTATTCTTCGTTATTATAATAGAAAAATCTGTGAATTATGAAATTGAGGAAACGAAACAGCAGCTTTGCGTGACAAATTTTTAGGAGCGAGTTTTAAGCAAATGTGAAAATCGCTTGGCCTGAATTCCAAGAAACTCAATCACACTTGTGCACACACCCCCTATTTTCGTATCTTCATGGTCCCTTGGTGGTATTAGATGAGGCAGAATGAGAGGGCAGGGAACCCATTGGTTTTATACGAAGGGAGAGAGCGTGCTTAATTTCACTCTTGTATTTCAAGACACTCAGTCGCCAACAAAGTGTGACTGCGAGGTCAAAGGTGAAAAATACGGAAAAGAAGAAAGAAAGCAGCTGCAACTTTATGCGACAACTGTGTAAAACATCTCCATCCGTGGTAGTTAAGTCATTATATTAACGTAAGGGCACAAACTTATGTATTATCGCCACGTTCCTTTAACTTTACTGACTCTGATCACTTTTCAGTGTTTTTTTCAAATATTTTTTTAACATAACGCTAGCCAGTCAAGTAAATCGACTTTGCCAACTTGTGAGGTATTGAAAATAACGGAGGGTAGATAAATTTATTAGTTTATATTTTGGGCATATTTGTTTTGAAAATCTGGGTGGTTTACATTTTTAACTTGACAAAAAGATGGAAATAATGTGACGAGAGGAAACCTCAAAGTTACCGACATCAACTAAACAATCCAGCCACATCAAAAATGAGGGTGACATTTTAAAAGGCAAAGTTAAAAAGACAACCCCAACAAAACAACGTATACCTAGCAGCACAAGTAAGTAGAAGAAGTTGAGATTTTGTTTTTGGTTGGCCACATCATGCCCGAACGTAAGTTCTTCTGGTGGACGGCGAACTCCTCTTGGTCCTTTTTTGTTGTGGGTAATCGTAAATATTCCACCATACTTCTTGAGACTAAAGAGACGTGACTTTTTCCAACCGAATGGGCACGAGATGGACTCTTTTTCATAAAAATTCCTCTAGAAATCATCCTTATCCCGGAAATTATTTGGGATTCCTCCTCATCTCATCGCATCTCTAAGCTTGAACATTATCCACCATCCATCCAACCAACCAACCAAGCAAAGGCTGCCTTCATATGATGTTCTCTCGAGTGTCTCATGCTTCGCGTTCATGAGCCGTAAATCATTTTGTCTTCGGTCGTCGGTCTCATCCACAAGAAGAAATAAGTCGTCGTCAACTTTACAAAAGTTTCCTCGTTATCCCCTCGGCATCATCCCGGCCAATTTTCTATCTCCGACGACGATACGATGAGCGCTTGAATGTCAACGCACACAGCGACGCCAGCCCAACTAAAACTTTGAAGAATAGAAGAGGTGGATGGGATCCATAATGGATGGAATATTACGAAATAGTTTTTTTTCGGGGTGGAACTAACCAACCGAATTAATTGCTACAGTTTTTTAAGCCTAAAAAACGAACGGCAAAACTAACTTGCGCAATTAGGTGTGATATGTAAGAAGAGATTGGCAACATTTTCGAGAAATCAGGGCGTATGAAAGTGAAATAGAAATTGTACAATCATGGGACCAATATTATTATCGGTCAGACTGGCTGACGGATGATGGAGCCTGGGTTCACTCGGCCGAATAAATATTTAATGGACGTACAGAATTGGGGATGAAGGTCTAATGGCACGGAATGAGAATTTATTTTGCTTCTTTTCTTGTACCAAAGAAGCTGCATCTTTTCGATATCAGTATCAATTCCGTGTCCCTTTTTTATCTGCAGTTTTATCAAAGAAAAAAAGAACAATATTGACAAAATTTTAAAATGATGGAAGTGATTTCATACAAATTTTGGAGATTCTTTGTGTAATATGATATTTTGTCACAAAATGGTTCATATTGTCGGGGAATAATACTTAATTATCTCGTCGGAGATCTTCAAATGATAGTTTTCTTATTTTCTGCCCTCAAAAGAAAAGATTTTCGACATTTTATCAGTTTATTTACACTTTTTGATAAAAATCTCAAACTGAAACTGAGCATTACATATGTAACATTTTAAAATTAATTGTATTTGCTGATGGATTATTTTTTCGGGGGACTGTTATTCCCCAACTTGCTTTCTTTATCTTCTCCTGAATTTCTTTCCTTTCTTTGCTTCGTCATTTCCCCCACAAATGCTTCTGATGGGACTAAAAATTCTTCAAAATCTTCCAAATCAATTTCTGGTTTTCTCGCCCTCCTTGACAATTGAATGTATGCTGAAGCCCTTCGACGCGCTTTATCCAAATCGGTCTCCTTGTCAAAGACTTGTTTCTGAGTGCAAAAGGAATGAAAGTCTGTCGTGCTGTGTTCCGGACTTGGCATGGTTAACGATATTTCCGGCAACTATTTAGAATAATTAATTACGATCAGAATTAATCACATTTTTTCAATGTGACGCTTGGTTGGATACGTATTTACAAATATGTATGTACCTGCGACTCGGTCACTCTTTCGAAAGACGGAAAGATTAATTCGTACATGGACGCCAGCCACAATTGAAACGCAAAAAACCATCCTCCTAAATACAGAAAAGCTTTTCTACACCCCGTCGGAACATCTTTGACAACTTGGCCTGCCTCTTTAGCCGCCTTTGGGTCGACTTTAAACTCGAAATTTTTCAAATCTGCGTCTTCAGGGGGTGGTTTTCGGTAGCCGAAGACATACTCTAAATATCCTGAAGTCCTCGGAGCACTCGCCAACTTATTCTGGACAAATTGCAAATCTTCCTCTTCCACCAAGCTGCGTCCAATTGGTCGACAACCTTGCTTATTTCTTTGAGGAGCAACATGTTCCAAAAGATTGGGAGGAGCTCCTAATGGTCGTTTTAAGGACAGCGTTCTCCTCGCTTCTCGAGCAGTCCAGCTCGGTTTGAACAATTCCATCGTGTCATATTCCAGCTTATCCCGAAGTCTCCCTTCAGTCAATTTGGTCAACCAGGTCAGTCTATCCCTCCTATTTCGTAGGCAAATGTACTCTCCATACGCCGTGTTGAAGTCGTCCTCCATAAATTTTTGGTGAATATCCAAATTCAAAGAGACATGAATTGGTGTTCCTCGACAGAATTTTACCCGTCTGAAAACCAAGGTTTTTGCTTCGTAATCAGTCCCACTTACACCATCGCTGGGCCTTTTATTTCTGCTTAAGTGAGATTTCCTGAGTTGGATTCCAGCCTTGGTGGACTCGAGGGACGGGTGTCGCCGAGATTTTCGCAGTAGCAAAGAGTGCAAAGTGACCAATCTCAATGTTTTTGGGATTCTCGTATTAACTTTGTTGTCAACGAGGTCACTCGGACTCAACTTGATTCTAGGGAACATGGAATGACAAATATTCTCAAACGGATCCACCTTCATGTTGCAGAGTTGATTGGAAAATCCGTAGCCAAATGAGCCATAAGCCCATGCAAATTCAAAAGTGAACTTTCCCACGACAAAGGATAACTCGTTGATAATGCTTAAAGATGAAATTCCATGCATCTCTCGAATGAAGTCAAACATGTGTATTTTCTGGCTTCCGATCAAGTGATGGTGTTCTGGATCTTAGAAAAATAAATAAGCTCGTTACTAATATTAGTAAAATATTTGGTGGTAAAACACACTAACCTTGGAAAGCGTAGATATGGACAAAAAATTCGTTTCGATCATCCATTCTGAATTCTGATAACTAGCAGGATTTAAAAAGTGGTGATATCAATTTGATGGTTATTCGCTGTAAATATAACGCCTGCATTTTTATTACCTCGATAAAAATGTGGACAGAATGATCAATCCTAACTTTTTTACAGTCCAAGCAGTACACAGGATCAGAACATTTGAACGTGTCTTGACACTCGAGTTCCACATATACGCAGAATTGTGACCCCTTCGCGAAATCTAAAATATTTGCAGAATTCATTAAGTCATGTATGTAAATGCGTACCACGTGTAATATTAATTAATATTCATGTAATGTCCGCCCCACATACTGCTTCTGGATAAAACGAGGTTCTGAATGTCCATCGCGTGGAAAAAGAGGACGCCATGAGGACGGATAGGAATTCGCTTATCTCTCTCGGTGAAAGTGTTTTCCACCGGTTCAGCATTAACTTCGGCCAACAATTGTGCCAAAATTTCCATATCTCTTGCATGTTCTGGATAAGGTCGGTGAAGTGGATTGTCGCCAGGTTTGGGTTCCAACTTCATCCGAGATGGGAGAAGAAGCTCAATGTCTTCTGCCCGTCGGACGTGATACTCGTGAAATTTCCCCATAATGTTAAATGCTCAATTATCTTTTACGGCTGAATGAAATCATCAATCTTCTCGCAATTTCCACATTATTTCATTTCGTGATAAGTCAACTTATTTGAGATAAAATACTAAAATAGATCATAGTCGTTGATAAGGTAATAATGAATGGAGAGTGACTTTCACTTCAGAGTTATTGTTATTTCCCACTTGGCCCAAAAGTGGAAATAAATGAAGGAAAATGCAGCTGCCGTCGTCGTCACCCCTTCGTCAAACCCATGCAGTCAGTAAAGTATTATTAGGTTAACTAGATTAACCTTAATGAACAAATGACCACTTAACTGGGCAAAACTCATTTCCATCACTTACTTATCTCACATAGTGAACAGTTGGAGAATTTTTTTGACAATGGGACGACAATAACGTGATTCAGACGAGATATAGATAGAATCCATTCATAATTGAATCTCTCAATTTCACAGTGTGATATTCTTCTTCTGTCCGGATGGCCAGTTACGTTAATTCTGTTGGCTTGGCTCAATCAAAATCATACAAATAAACGAACGTACTTTTTCTCTATCTAAATGTAAATCGAGAAATGAACTCGTGCCTGTTTGTCGACATTATTTGATAGAACGGGCAAAAATGTCATATCTCGAATGCGACAATGAATGTCCATTGTGTTCATTCATATTATTTTTTTCAGGTTCAATTGTTGCCCATATTCCAAGCCGTGCCGGAGGGAGGTCACATACACATTTAGTTGGTTAGTTAGCGCATATATGGCCTTCAGCCTTCTCAGTAGCTCAATTTAAAACACCGATTATTTCATTGTGCTCCATTGTAAGTGTCACCAGAAACATGAATTTATTCATCCACTTTATGAAGTGGTTCCCATAATCTTCTCACTGTCACAACGAGTTGCAATTTAATCTGTCTCCTGGCTTATTAGAATTAGAATAAAGCGAGAGAGCCTCCTGCATCAATGTTGCATAACCCTCGACATCACCGTCACTCGGGGTTGGACGTGTGTCACTTAAAATTCAAATAATCCTAAAAGTGAGGGTCCTTTTTGGATAAAAGGAGTCAAGTAGCGTCGGCCCGGTGTATGAAATGTACTTCAACTTGAGTGTGATGGAGTGGGTCGCATATAGATGGATGGATTATGTAATGAAATAAAGTCACAAATATTGCCAATTTTTTTAGAATTTTCGCGAAAGCTGCTGAATTACAATTCATTTTATCTAGAAATCCAGGTTGTTATATAATGAAATAAAGTCACAAATATCGCCAATTTTTAGATATCTCCATATGTTTTTGCGAAAACTGCAGAATTCATGTTACGTAGAAATCCAGTTGGATCCACAGATATATAGTAGCACTATACTATGTATATCTGTGGTTGGATCACTCCGCGTCCCATTAAATTATGTAACCCACATTAGAATAATTTCATTTTTGACAAAAAATGGCACCCGCTCCTATAAAATTCGTCACCAAACATTTTCTCCCAAAAAACTCAAACTGGTTCCATTAGAATTGGATACAGCAGTCAACCCCTCCTAAATCATGTATTTTTTTTACTCTTTAGTCCGTACATTAATAAACCGGGTGTTCGGAATACGACCAACCATTTCCTCCTCATCAGCTTATACATAATATGAATTCCAAGTAATTTTTACTTCATCATGAGAACAAAGAACACGGGAGCGATACACATTTTCCGATAACCTTATCCCTTATTTTTCATGTACAAAAATGTCGTTTATTACTATTGTACATTATTCTTTTCGACTTTCACCCTTGCATTCATTCCTTCATTGACTCGTGTGCTGGGTATTGTCACTCACCCTCAATCTCAATCAAAATTCCCGATCAGGATGCATCAGAGTGGATGCTGAATGTCAATGTCATTTTTTCACTGTCACTTTCTGCCATTGTCATTGCCAGGACCAATGTCAACCCAGCAGCCAACCCTTCTCTACAAGTTACTAAACTGCATCAAAAAGCTCAATGCAACGGACGGGACAAAAGTATTTTTTTTATATGTTGTACTCTTGTCAATCCTTTTATTATTAACCAAGATTCGTATTCAATTCAACACGCAATAAGCAAAAAGGGTCCGAAAATAATAATATTATAAATCTTGTCAACCCTCTCTCGCAACTCACTCTGGCTTATTTCATAATATTATTTTTCAACATTTTCAATATTTCCTCTCCGGACAATGGGACGAATAAGTGCGTGCGGTGCGTCTAAGGCTAGCCGCAAGCGTCGCCATAATTATTAAGGTCGAACCCACTGCTTATTATTACCTACTTGTGCCTTTTTATCACATCACATTTCATAACTGGCTGAGTTGGGATGTCAGATGTTCACATTTTTTATTGGGAATTTCATGTAGGAGGAAACGCCTCGAGTCTCTTAATTAGATCGAAATGCCCAAAAAAAGTACCAATAATATTACGTAATATTATGTGGGGAATTTGGAATCGGAACTTTTTTTCCTTGAAGCGAGGTGTGTGCAGGATAATTGGTAATTGTGGTAAAGAGCCCTCTTCTCCGTACTTATGCCCATTCATGGCCTATTCATCCTTCCCTCCGCGCCCTTAATTATTACACTACATTAAATCTTAAAGAACAAAGTGTGAGTTGATGGGAAGTTATTGGTCTCGTGGAGTGACAGACTGGAAGCAACTTTTGGGTCGTTTTGATGGTTTTTGGTAAGGAAAAAAAAACTAAAAGGAAAAGTGCGTAGGGAGCTGGAAAGAGGAGAGAAAACACCGGAATTCCTGGGGTGCAAAAGCCAATATTGTTCCCCATTGTGATAAACCACTGGAAGGATATGTATGGCCCCTCGTGGGGTGTTTTCCGAATTTCTTTTATGTCGCGGAGGTATGAACATGGTCAAAATGTGTAAAAATGGAACAATAAGAGAGAAAGACAATTCATCTCAGCTGGCAGATTTTTTTGAAATTTGAAATCTATTATACTTCTAACCCGAATTGTGTGATAGTTTATGCTCATGGGTGCTATTTAGTAATTATACTCAGAATTTCGCTAGAAAATAAGTGAGATCCAATTCTGGGAATAAAAGTTACTAAAGAGTTTTAATGGACATGTATTTCGTTCTTCTTTTACCAGAAAAGTTACGGAATATAAATATTTCTATTCCATATTCCAAGCACTTATGGTATTAATACAGAACTCCTGCCGGGTGCCCCCGATATCTAAAGTGAGAGTTGTCTGGATGGACACTTGCTGCGTTAAAAATAAATGGATCGTGGATATGAGATTGGCTGATGGTTGGGCACGGATTAACTTGGATTCTTATACGGCTGCAATAAGTGGATAGAAAATTGCTATTTTTTGGATGGAATCACGTGGACTTTTGTTCTGTAAAAACTAAAGTTCTAAACTAAACTTTTGTTCTATAAATCTGTAACAATGATGGTATTCTCATTGTTTTGGGAAACAGTCATTTGATATAAAAGTGTTAGAAATCAGTAATTTTGAAGATACGACAATTTTAAACATGAAAAGAAATAATGATGAATTTCCTGCCATTCATTTGATTGCTGTTACAGATTTTTTTTGTCTTAAAAATTCGAATCAATCTTCAATTTGGTGTGCTTTCCTTAACGAAAGGGAGTGGAAACTTTACAAATATAATCTCTGGAATGCTTTGTTGTGACTCCGATGTCGCTTGATCGGATGCATTGTTTCTTTTCTTAGCGTCACTGTCAGTCACTTTGTCCGTTGATGTCACTTAATGTCCCGAATGCATGGTCAGCCAGGTTACACCCTGTGCTCATTCATTCTTCAGTAGGAAAATTTTGTCATCACGTCGCATTTATGCCATAGAAAAGCTGCTTCTATTTTGGTCATCTTCTTCACTACATTTCTTCTAGTCATCCTTTCTCTGAATGAAAGCGAGATAAAAGCAAAGTCAATAATCCCACCTGATAATCCAAACCTTTTAAAATCGACCCTGAGAAGAGTTTAAAAGAAGCTAAACAAATTCCACCACCTCGTGCATGATGATAACAAGACAGCGCACCACAATTGACGACTAGCTCACTTTTGAACTCCAATTTTGTAGACTGGTCACAACAATGAATGCAGAGAAAAGTAAATATTTTGTACATCCCATTATTCTTCCAGTGAAAGAAACAAAACTAAAATTGTAACAATTCGACCACAACCTAAACGTTCAGCTACATGCATTGTTTGGACATTTAACAACATTAAGCTGCCCAACATTTTGTTCAGAGGCTGGGCTAAAGAACGGCACAAATATCAAGATTGAGGAATGTTTTGTCTCATCGAAAACGGTTAGGGATTGATTGACAGCAGGTTGAAAGAGTTGAAATTGGATTGTTGGGTTCGGAAGACGGCTACCTGCGTTTTCAAGATGTAAATAAATAAAAGTTGGAAAAGGGAAACTTTTAAAATCTTAAATTGGTCGGACAAAGAGAGAAACAAAGTAAAGCCCTTTTAGACCAATTGGATGCACTCATTTGCACTGACTAAGGCTTGCTGATGATGGGTCCAAATTCCAATGATGGGTGAACCGTTGTGCATTTTTCATTTACCTGTAAAATTATCTATAATGAAACCTCTTCTCAACATTGATAAACGTTTGTTACCCGATTATTGATTTTGGCGACAAAAATTGCAAAATTGCGAACCTGATTATTATTTACGGGTGAAAGTCGTTGCTTATTTTCATTACCCATACCCAATGAAGAAAATCAATAAAATATACAAGTCTGGGACTAAATAACATAAAACTTATCATGATTGTGGAACAATCTGTGCCCCGACATCAGACTGTCCCTTATTCCGTCCCTTTCGTCTCGCCAATCTCAAATCATTACCACTAATTGACGGATTGTCTCCTCCTTTAACCTAAATTGGAACCTTTCCGCATCTTATCATTAGACACTGATCAGCAATAAGTCACAAAGTCAGTTGTGAGCAAAAGTGTCAAAAATCTAGAAATTCTTTACAAGAATAGAGAGTAGCAGAGATTCGAAATTGTTGTGTAGTTGACATCTGGCACGATGTGCAAGTGGTTGTTGGCTGGATTTCATACTTGACAAAATGTATCACATGCGTCAATCTGACTAAATCTCCAGTCGTCTCTTCTGTCAAATCAGAGTCAAAGGTTGAAAAACTACTTTTCGCTATCTTGGCACTTTGTCCAGTCCACATTCAATTTTTCTCTTCTTACATGTGTGACATGGCACAAAATTAACCATTATTTTGTTCCCTATACTACATTCAAGTACTTCCAAGGTACAATTTCATAAGCAGGACTCCAATCAAGAATCTGTCTCACTTTTAACCTCCAGTAGTGAGCTACTCTATTTTTCAAACTAAAAAGAAATAAGATGCCATTTATCTCTCTGCCTCGATTTGGATTGAACTCATACTTATTTATTTATTATGGATTTGAAAGCAAGTTAGTCATTCCACTTTTCCTCCTCCTGATGATTTCCTTCTTCGAGTGAAACACTTTTTGGCTGGCAGTTAGTTACATACGAGATGAAGGGAGGCATCACATCAAAATACTAATGTAACCTGCTGTGAGGGTGGCCTGCTGAGACAGTTCTCACCTTTAGATGGAAACTCCTGGGAAGCTTGTTCAATTCCAGCTAAAGAAACAATTTACCATCATTTCGGCCATAAACTCATAAACTCTTCTCGTAAAAGTTTCCACTTGTTGTGCATGAACTGTTGTGTGACTGATGAATCCAATTGTGTTGAAAATGGGAAGATTCTCAAATAAACAAGATTCAAAAAGGACTCTACTACACAAGACTCACGCGATGATGATCATCATCATGATGCGAAGGGAGACTTGTACGTACAACAAACCTTATTATTTACATACCAAGAAAACCAGGCCAAGTTTGACCATTCCTTCTTCCTTGCACGGATATTATTATATCGAAGGAGGGCGATTTTCTTACAAAATATACGATTTAATTTACAATTTGTGAAGACATGTTCGCAAAGGGTCCACTCCAAAATGACACGTTTTATGGCCCAAGCCAGCTAGTGACCAAACCCATGGGAAAAGTTGGAAAGCTCCTGCTGCGTCAAAAGCCAGCCTGATATATAAGTTTTGACTTTAGATTTATCCTTAGTGTTACATAACTTGTTAAATTCACCAGCCAGCAGCGGAAGAAAACTAATTCTAATACATATGAAGTAAGGTCCTATATATAGACTTTGAGAATGAGGGTCACAATCATAAAACATTAAATAAAACTGGGATAAACGATATTAAGGTTACGTTACCCACACTTTGCCATTTTTTGCACATCTCACCCTTTCTGCAAAAATCGAATAATATGGTTCAGTCCAGTCAGTGAATGATGAATTTCAACTGCTAAAAAAGCTCTAAAAGTATGCAGAAATGTGGAATAAAAAACTTACCATTTTATGAATGTGGTTATCCAATAACAGATAAAAAGCTGTGTAAGTAAGGCCTGTGGTAACCGTTTGGATTTGGACAAAATATGTGCCAGATAGGCGATGGGTACTTGAGGATGAAACTGCTGAGGATTCATCACCTTATAAATTATCAGGGTTTCACCCACCCGTAAATCATTTACCGTCAGCTTGTTCTAAACTTGAACAGTTTATCTCCCTTTTCTTACTTCCTTCCTTGGTATACACTTTATTATGATGGGCTCCCTTCGGCTCAGCCTGAAATGGACATTGTTCTCCATCCAAAAAGTGGTTTTAGGGAGAAGTAAACTGAACTGAACTGGCTGATAAATCATAGCACACAGCCCTCGTAATAATAGCGCGTCTTGACCTGCAATGATCTATCGGTTTGGAGCACAACAATGCTTTGTTTTGTCCCTAAATTGTTTTACAGTGAGCTATAAAATCTTTGGAGTATTTCACAGTTGTGGAAATAAAGAGTAATTTAATTTTCAAATGGAAAGTAAATACGTTGCAAATTATGGATCTGTAATAAATGGGGTGCTTACTTTAGTCAAACGGTGGGAACCAAGCTGCAATAAAATTTTGGAAACGTTTCGGTTATTTATGATACTGTTGACGATGATGATTTTACTGGTGTAATTTCCATTATTAAAACAAACAATTGATTTTGGAACTTCTAAATTTGAAGTAGAATTGTATCGATTATGCAAAAAATGCATACAAAACCAAACAATACTGATGTTGAGCAGGATTCTAGTCCGGGCAAAAAGTCCTGTTTTGATGGGAATCGAGCGTGCACGCCCTCATCCCTACTTCTGCACGGATTCATATGAAATTTTAAACTTTGTCCTAGAGATGCGAAATTTGGCATGCACATGCACCAACATATGCTGCATCATAATACAACATCAATTCCCGTTCCGTTCGCTATAAATTTTTCAGGAAAAATCAAAAACCAAGCAATGATAGGGATGACATTTGGTTTTTGATTTTTCCTGAAAAATTTATAGCGAACGGAACGGGAATTGATGTTGTATTATGATGCAGCATATGTTGGTGCATGTGCATGCCAAATTTCGCATCTCTACGACAAAGTTTAAAATTTCATATGAATCTGTGCAGAAGTAGGGATGAGGGCGTGCACGCTCGATTCCCATCAAAACAAGACGTTTTGCCCGGACTAGAATCCTGCTCAACATCAGTACAGACCTTAATCTCATAACCTTTTTCCCAGAACATAGACCGAACGAGCAATTGCTATTTTCTAAGGGTCATGCATGCAATCTAGATGAAAACTTGAAAGTATTCTATAAAATCACTCAAGGGGAGGGAAACAACTGGCAGTTGAAAAAAATGTAAAATTTTACTTTGTCACCCTAAAAATACAAAAAAAAACTCCCAAAAATGAATTTTTGGGGGTAAAAAAAAAATTTCCTGCGGTGAAACACACTTGACTGTGTTTGCCTTAATTATTTGCACATTTTGGATGTGTAAATCAAAACTTTGAAAAATTGTGAAATTAGTGGTTGACCCTCCCCATAAGCTGGATTGAGTAAATTATGTAGCGTGGGGATGAGTAAGAAGCCCCTTGCCTCCAAGACAAGAGAGTGAAGAAAGCCACGAGCTCGGCCTCATCCGCACAGTTCATAATTTACTCAATCCAGCTTATGGGGAGGGTCAACCACTAATTTCACAATTTTTCAAAGTTTTGATTTACACATCCAAAATGTGCAAATAATTAAGGCAAACACAGTCAAGTGTGTTTCGCCACAGGAACTTATTTTTTGACCCCCAAAAATTCATTTTTTCGGAGTTTTTTTGTATCTTTAGGGTGACAAAGTAAAATTTTACATTTTTTTCAACTGCCAATTGTTTCCCTCCCCTTGAGTGATTTTATAGAATGCTTTCAAGTTTTCATCAAGATTGCATGCATGACCCTTAGAAAATAGCAATTGCTCGTTCAGTCTATGTTCTGGGAAAAAGGTTATGAGATTAAGGTCTGTACAACAAAGGAAAATGGAAATATGCAGTCTTTCTTGCATTGCCCGACTCAAGTGGGAAATTTGAATTTCTTTCAGAAATCTCAAAGGTCGTTGCCTCTCTCCTGTCATTTGTTTGGGTTTTTTTAGTGTTGAGTAATTTTTGCCAGTTTTTCATTGCCGATTGTCTTGTAGAGTTTCAAAGTTTTTGGAAATTATAATTTCTAAGTTCTACCGAAATCTCGGCGTTTATAGGCCAAGGACGAACGGAGGATGGAAGTTATCATGGACTTGTCTACCTCCGATTCGAACGCTTCAGTATCTACGATCAATCTTGATAGTAGTCTAGTCGCAGAAATTGGTAGTGGTGACGAGTCGGACATGGACCAAGAAGAAGACGGTCATCAAAATACTTCTCCGACAATAATTCTACCAAGCGATGATGACGACGACAATAACGAGGCACATTCTTCTTTGCGTGGAAAATTAAATCGTGGCAATGTAGCGGCTATGCATAAAGCTGTACCTTTACCTATTCGTCCTTCTGTCGAATCAATTCGTCGAAAATGCATTGTATGCCTGGTCCCAAAACCTGAGACTGAAGACGTGTTTATTGGTCGATATGTTCGTAAAGAGATTTATATTTTGCTCGAACATCTTCAAGCCCCGGTACGGTAACACTTTCGCCACATAATTATAATTTAACCGATCAAACCGTTTCTTATTTACCTACTTTTAATTGATAGCTTCGTGGAAATGGCCTTGACACAGGACTATGCTACGATTGCATGAATGAGCTGCAACGGTGGCACATGTTTCACCAGACGCGAAAGACATTTCTTGATAAGAATCCACCTGAGGTCTTTCAGCTTGTGGAATTCCCTCCTTCTACAACACTTTATGAACGAACAAACGAAGGAATACCAGTTCCGATAATTAAAACAACAATCCCAGTAATCAAGGCAAATCCGGTTTCGTACACTGAACGGAAAATGAACCAAAGTATGATTAATTAATTATTTCTTTGCAATTGGAACAGTGAATGAGTTAACAGCTCAATTGCATTTATTTTTATTCCATTTTTAGTATGTAATATATACGAAAAATCAGGACATCAAGATTGCATTGTTCGAGCATGGACAGTGGAGGATTTGGAATATCTAGCTTATCATATTCATCATGCAGAGTCTTTCAATTCACCAGCAATCGCTAAGTTGAAGTTGTATTTCACAGATGTTAAAATTTTATTGAAGGTCTATTGCATCACTTGCAAGCAACACATTTCTGGTTGGTCATTTTATTCTTCAATATATAATAATTATATATAATTGTAATTGATACAACTTATTGCGCTGTTTATTTTTAGGTGGGAAAGCAAAATATGAAGAACATGCGACGACCTATCACGGTGAGAATCCTGTACGGTTTCCTTGCGATATCTGTGGAGCTTGCCTCCCGGACAACGATTCAAGTGGGGCAAACAATTTTTTTGAACATTGGCTCAGACATTTTTACTTTTACAGGTACACCTTTATTTCTTAGTCATAATTACATCTTTTTAAACATGAATTCAAGCTATATCCATGTATTATACCAGCTGCACCGAGTGTGAAGCCATACTCCAATCACATGGTCGTTTTCTTCGGCACATGGAGAATGTACACAAGAAACCTGATCAACCAATTTTAGAATCTGGTGGTCCAGGTATACATTTCGAGCCGGAACCAATGCCATCAATTAAATTGGGGGATGACGAGGAGGACCCTGAGGACGACCGTATCGTATCTGGTCAACACAATGCAATTAAGAGGAAGAAAATGGAACAGAAGAAAAAAATGCCATATATAATTTGCAAACATTGTAATAAACGGTAATTTCAATAATTTGTCATTGTAATGACAATTACGTGTCTATTAATTAATAGTTAAACGATTGTTAGTATTTTACATATTTACAATTAAGATATTCGCCTTACAGGATCCAACGACCGTTCTATAAATTCCACACAAAAAATTGTCCCGTAAAGACTAGGAGAATGGAAGATGCTTCAAAGAGCAAAAAGGTTCTGAAACGTGCAGGCCCAAGCGCAGCGACTGCTTCCGCCAATCCCCAACCTGCAAACGTGGAGAATAATAATGCTACTACATCTGGTACGGCTAGCTTGAAACAATATCCATGCAAACTATGCGGACGTGTTTTCAGTTTTCAGCATTTCCTCCAAGATCACATCAATTTTGTCCATCTGAACATTAAAAATTACAATTGTGGAGTTTGTGGCATGTCGTAAGTTTCTAATTTTTAGCCCGAGTCAGGACTTATGGAACCGGTATGTTCATCTGTGTAACTGTCTGTCTGATTCACGATAACTCGCTTTAAACTTATTCGATCGACTTTAAATTTTGCTCATGCGTAGTATGGGTCGGATTAGGAGCAAGTTCGACGATCGGCGAAATTGGTCAAGTGGTTGACCGATGGGGGTCATATAGGTGGAGGGTTAGTAATAATAGTAGTCCGGCAAAACGGGCAAAAAGTTAAAAGCGGACTTTGATCCTGACTCGGACTAAATTAAGTCTGCACTGTAGGCTTTTTAACCTGTTTCAAGTCGACTAATTAACAATGTAAGTCACCTTTACCAAATTTTGAATTTTGTTATTATTCCTAGATTTATCAGCAACTGCCATTTAAAATCTCATGAAAAAACAAAACATAACAAACCACAAACATCACAAGCGACGAGTTTCGATTGCGACAAATGCCAGAAGAAATACTTTGACGAAGGGTCACTGCAAGCTCATCATTGCGTCACGGGAGATGGACCAAAATCGAAGCACTTTAAATGCGAATATTGCTCTAGAGTTTTTCCCCTGAAAGGCCAACTGAATCGACATAAAATAAATGATCATGGAATAGATAGACGGTTTAACCAAATTATTCAGTAATCAGTACCTGTCTTCCACTGGTACCTACACCCACGGTCACAAGGATTCAAAATTCTGGAGGTTTAACATAATTCTTAATGGAATTTACACAAATTATAATTTCTGTTTCTCTCGGTAATTAATAGGTTTAAAGATGAATTGAGTTAACAGTTTTGTTATTATTACCACAAGTATTAGACAAAATTAATTGTTTATCTACACCTACCTACCCACCTACTTTAGCATGTTTATTGAATGGTTGCCGTTTTTATATTCCCTATTTGCCTGAAGTTATGCAATTAGTGCAAGATTATATTTTATAGTACTCGGATAGCATTATATATTGATTCTCCAAACGCATTGTTAAACTATGAACTACAATAAATGTAACTGAAAAATAGCAAACGAGGACGAAAATGGTGATTTATCATTTAAAATTGCTACACAAAGTCGTAAAAATCATGGCGAATATAACAATAATAGTTGCCTACAGGGAGTTTTCATTATGCCCCACAATGTCATTTTTGTGTCCCTTGAAGCCTCTTTTTATGGCATTCTGCTCACATTCTCTCCGATCTTTGCTCAAACTACTTTTTTAAGTGTTGACCGCATTGGTTTGGTGGGCCTTTCCCTCTAATAATAGAAAGCGATCCTTGCGATTTTTTGTCAATTTTTCTACGTTCGTTCCGATATCGGTTAAAAAGTCACCCATGTATTTACTGAAATTGGGAGAACCCCATAAAAATACGAGCTGTGAACTTTATGAACAATACAAGGCCTCCATTATTATACGATCTATTTCAGCATAAAACGAACGTGCTGGAATATTTATCAACCAGTAGGTCGGTTGAGATTTCCATAAAAACCTTAGTTATAATTTGAGCTTTTCACCCAATTGCATATTGGTTGCTGCAGTATTCAATGTCTAAACTGCATAATGAAGCAGTTACATAACAAAGGAGACTTGGGTTCTTATTTTCAACTTGGGCATAATACATAGACGGCTGGAAAATCTCATTTTCCTCAGTCTCCCATAATGCTATACCAGTATAGTACCCCTGTAAAATGCACTTCCCAATTTACACCTTCCTTGAAAATGTTTCTCCAATTTCCGGGCAGAATTATCATTTTTCAAAATTTTGGGTCTAAATTGCTCTCAATTGAACTCAATCGGTCCAGCCGTTTTGACTCTACCGTTTCTCGGACAGACAAACAATACAACGTTATTTACATACATAAGCCTTGACTCGGGCCAAAAAGACAATTAAGGGAACACAACGGTGGGTCATACTCATTTCATTTCCAAATCCATCCATAAGTCTCTCGAGTTCAATTCGAAATTCAAATTAAGAAGAACTGAACCCAGCTCAACATCATCTCATCCTTCTCTCGGATTGAAGAAGATGGATGGGGCACAATATCGGATATTGTGTGGAGTGGTAGTTATTATTGCTGTTTTGGAAGGATGGATGGATTATTAGTTGAGAATAGGGGATTCAAATTCTCGATAACAATACCCGTCGTGTAATATTGAATTTGATTCAAGTGTTAAGTACGAGACAAACTTTACGCCAGGAAATATATGCCCAATTAATTAAGCTCACTGCACTCTGTTTCTATTTTCCATTGTCCGTCATATCAATATAGAACAATGGGATTATCCACAATTGCAAGTGGGAGAAAATTGATGTGAAATTGTCAAGGAGAGAGATCGGGATATCCCATCACCATCATCATCATCCGGGGACATCAATCATTCCCACATTCGAAATGAAATTGTGTAATCCAAAGCCGTTCCTGGATAATGACGAATTATACAAAAAATAATAATAAATTTCTCCTCCAGCAGACACAGTCACCCTAAAAATTAATTGCAAAAATTACACATTCACATCCATGATTGCATAATGCGCATATTTCATCATACATACATCGAAAATGCATGAAAGAATTATCCAATCTTGGTAGATATGCAAATTCGAAATTGTTACAACAAACCCTAACATGACATTCATGTCTGAAACGAGAAGAGGCGACTCATCATTTATTTTTCTTTTGTTCAAGTGAGAGACTCGTCGTACCGTTTCATGATTTGTGTTGCATTTATTTACTAAATCATCGTCATCATTATCATCAGTAATCGATTAAACGCTCATTTGTATTTTAAACTTGAGGTTACATATTATTGATTGTTAGACCCGATTCTGACTGCGAATAAATAAGGCATCCTTTAAAGGTTGGATCGAGTGAGGGAAGAAGATGGTCAATAGTTTTCGATCGACAGATCGTGCCCTATCATTGTAATCATCTCAGTTCCTCAGTCGCTCCCTTGCTGCGAGAAATTAAGGTCGTGATTTACATATTCTAAAATAAAATAGAAAAAAGCCCCTTTGTTTCTCAATACGATGTATGGATTCGTATGTGAAATTCGGATTAGAAATTACGCTATATACAATGCAATTGAATTGCATAATACACAGTGAACGGATCCAATCCAGCCACATCAATTATATGTATGAAGGGGTGGATTATGTGTGATTACGGATAACAAGACATAAAAATTGTATTTATTACTAAAGTAATTGTTTTTAGGATCCTCTTAAATATTTTTCACTTTCTGCTCCTTACCGAAACTACCTTTATTTTAAAGGTCCTCCAGCGAAATCATGAATTCATGACACGACACTTTGATAAGAGTTAAATCTGTCGGTATGTCGACGACTCATGATTCTAAATTATAGTCCCGTGTCTTGTACCGAAATATGTATGTGTGACTTACCGTGATCGTTGTAAAAAAATCAGTTAGTTTCCAATAACTCATTGCAGCAGCGCACGTGTCTATAATTGAATTTCCCTTGGGCATCTTCTTTTTTGTGAGTGCAGAATTGGTGTGGTCCATTGTTTTCATGAGCTGTCTCCCACATTTGAAAGATGATTGTACTTATACCAACATGATACGATACGATACAAGAAAGTATGCACATTCATGAAATATTTTTGTCTGAAATATTGCACTGAAATTTCAAGAAGTGTGTGTGTATGTTGCACTCACCCAGTAACTTTGTTAAAGGATCGCCTTCTTATGCATGCATTTTTTGTGTTTTTGAGCAATGAATGCAATATCCGCAACAATAACCAGCCACCCTTCCCTTCCCGAAGACAGAAAGCAGCACGGAAAGTAATCATCATTAGGAGAATGTAGCCGACAAGACAAGTGGCTAAAGCTTAACTGACAAAAGTTAAAAAATAAAGATAAATTATATCTCCAGAATGCAAACTTGGCTATGAAGCTCTGTTTGTTGTGTTAAGATTTAACCGTATACGGACTCAAGAAAAAATTTCGAATTTTGCTTCCTCAGCTTGCCTTACTTCCACTCGCGATTCATTCATTGCGTTCATTGTTATGCATTAACTCGCTCGCACACAAAACATGTTTGTAACATAATACAATGCAAAAAGTGTACACGTTCTCTCCACCGGCTTGGGAAAAGGAACGGATGTTAAGGCGAATCTATCATCGAATGGGATGAGTCGAGTTTTGACAAAAAATTGAAGAATTATCAGATTCTTGGGTGGCCTGGCTCGCCCTCACTAACTCGTCTCAATTGTTCAAGTCTTGGTTTGTTTGTTGAATCGTGAAATCGTCAAGAATGAGAAGAAGAAGCAACATTAAGTACCAATATTTGAACAAATTACTTTTCACATGTACGCAGATGCAATATGGTCATGATCTCTGTTACCGGTGAGGAGGTAACAAATTCATCCGTGGAGTTGGAACTTGGATGGAAGAAGTTTTACCGTAAAAATCAACTTTGATATTTACCCCTTCTTCTTTTAAGAAGTGTCTAATTCCCTGAAATCTTCGGCACATCTTTGGAACTGATATGGGCGGGCGGCTGCTGGTCCTTCGTAGCTAGAAGAGCTAATCTATTATAAACATTGAATCACATAACACAATAAGTTTTGCGTGCAGTGAAGAGTGTGTGAAGTAGTATCTTCTGCTGCTGTGTATCTTGTTCCTTAACTCCTCGAGGAAGTTTCAAGAGACTGGGAAAAAGAGGAGAACAAGGAAGAAGGAAATTGAGAAGGAAAGCTCCAAGGGATTTTTTGATACAGTTCTTATGAGCTCAAATGAACAAAGTCATCAATCACTGGTGTGTCTCACTCTTTTTTTACGCTGTTACGTACGAGAGGGTGAAATCAACTTGCTCAAAAATCAGGAAGCTTATAAAAAGACGGAAACCAGCAGACTTGACTTTGGACTTGAGAAGATCATGATCTTGCAAAAGACTGGACATTCTCTTTCTTCTGCTGGCTTCTGAGATTTTTTTCCGGCAACAATACCACGCTATCTACGCTACATATTTCGCTAGCCCGTCGTACTTAATGAGTCGACACAAAGTTGTTCACATTTTCATCCTCATCCGAACCCACACATTTTCCTTCAGAATTTATGTAACAGCAATTATATTAATTTTCTCTCGCTATTAAATTTTGCCATTCTGCGAAAAATGAGCCACCAGTAAACCTGAGTAATTTACGACTGCTGGTGACCACACGACGATATAAACCTCCTCCGTTAAGGAAAATGACTTTGTGCAAAGTAATTTTACGCACTTTGTATCAAGTGAGACTTGACCTGCGGCCATTTATGTGTACATACTCACTTGTAGTTAATAAGTTAAGTTTAAAACAACTTAACAACAACAGCTTGGGTCGTTAAAACGGAGGTGAAGTCGACTCAGAAAAGTGATATTTCATTTACAAACATTATGTATATTCCAGTCCAGCCAGAGAGCTCGAGTAATAACTATTTGTCAACGTTAGTTAGTTTGTTATGCGATACATGAAATATGGGGTCGTTTCCTCATCTGCTTACTATTTATTGTTGTGGTGGTTCCTCCTTGGTTGGTCACGCTGTTTAAAAGAGATAGCCAATTCTTGGAACAGGGTATTATTCACGAAGGAATTTGTGGGAGGAGTTCTTGCCATCGTGGAATTGAAATTGCCAATTAACTTTTATTTCACGGATGACAATTCAAATTCTACTTGTCTATAAAACATTAACAGAGTACATAAGCTTAAAAACGCTCCAGTGAAAGGCGAGGAGGACCTCACAGTTTTCATGCCGAATAATTTGTCGATGGCAGCAAATGTTTAATAGCACTTTGACTCTTGTTGGACATTTAACATCGGAATTGGGCATGTAAATTATTGCATTAACTTTGCCAACCATTTATCCCTGCATATATTCCTTAAAGCTAAAATGCTATTTTAGCTTATCACAACTTTCAGAGACAGTATTAATGTTCTGTTGTTGATTTCCTAAATGAAAACCTCAAAGATAAGTTGTACGAATGGATTGCGGACATTAGTCTGTGGTTTAAACGGATCGAGGAAGTTGAA